TCTTTCCGGTGCCTGCCTGATGCATTTATTTATTCTCCAAGAGGAGGGATCCTCCTCTCTCCAGTTGTTCATTCCGGAGGATCCCGGGGCATTTCTGCCTCAGGCTCCAGCTGCGGGAATGTTCCTCACGGAGAAGATAAACCACAGCTGACTATGAGCATCCAAGAGAGCGAGGACCAGGCAGACATGGGAGGCAGAGAGGACTGGCTTAGGGCCTGGAGGTGGGGCTTCCTCAGAAAGCACTCAGGCATGCACCTGGGTCTCCGAGCAGTTGTGAGTCAGTCTTCGGTGTCACGACTTTTGAATGTGTTTCTAACATTCATTTATTGGAGACAGTAGTGCACAAGAAGGAAGGAAGTGAGGTTTGTAGCCTCATCATAGAAACCTCTAGAGGCCTTTCTACCCAAATATCCCATTAGCTGTGGCAAGAGGAAAACTGTCTGTGTTTTCCATCTCCTAGAGGTGGTCCACATTCTTTGGCTGATGGACCCTTCCAGCATTTTCAATATGTCTCATTCCAGCACCTGTTTCCCTTGTCCTATTGTCTCTCTCTGACTCTGACTCTCTTGCTTGCTTCTTAGAAAGACCCTCATGGGGCCCATTAGGCCCATCTGTGTAATCCAAGAACATTTTCCTATCTCAAGGCCCTTAACTTGTTCAAACATATCAAGTCCCTTTTGCTGTGGGGTAATGCCTTCATAGGTTTGAGGAACGGGGTGGGTGGGCATCACTGACTACCAGAGACGACACCACGGCAATCAGGAGTATTGAACATAAAGACAAACAAGGCCACCTTTACAATGTCAGAGCCTGGATCAGCGTGTGGAAGGTGACAATAATGTTGTGCCCAGACGCTGCTCCCTAGAATAAGTTTCCAGGCAGGAACATAAAGAAAGGGAAGCCAGAGGACAGGTTTTCAAGGACCACCCTCCATATCTGTTCAAGAAGGGAAGTGATCATCATATGGTATAATAGGACTGTCTAATTTTGTTTGCCATGAAAAAAACTGGGGTCCTTTTGCGACCTCCTGCTCAGATGTCCTGGTTACACTTCCACTTCTGCTTCTTCCAGGAGTTTCTCTGCAGGAAGAAGACGTACTTGTCAGGCCCACATTTGAATCTCGTTGATGTCATTAATGTCTTGTGAGTTTGATGCAGCGATAAGTCAGATGTGGGCAAGGCAAGAGCTCTGGGCCACAGGGGAGTCATTACAATGGTGCTGCCCTGGGAAGGCACCTCGGGGCCTGCCAGATGGCCCCTCCCTGACAATGCCTGACAGTCCTTTGCAGACAGAGACTTCATTCTTAGTCGTTGAAGGAAGGAGAGGTAACGTTGACTTTTCAAGACGTGCGATTCAGGCCATGAGTCACCATAGCTGTGACTATTTTCACTCCAGCTTTGATAGCTATGGTTAGTAAGCAGACTCCAGGCATCCCCAGGGACTGGTTCTAGGATTTCCTGTGGACCTCGCATTGCTCCCACCATTTTCACGTCTTTTACATACAAGGAAACCTGATTGTGTTAACCTATGCACATCCTTTAATCTGCTTACAAGCACATCTAGGCTGTCTCAAACACTGAGTGCAGTGTAAATGTTGTGTATAGCACACTGCATTGCTTCAGGAATAGTCACTCGAAGGAAATGCTCTATAGAGATATTCTCCCTCCCCAAGTGTTTCCAAATGGCAGTTACAGAGCCCACACATTTAGAGGGATGAAAAGGCACGAGAAGAACTAGATTTCCATCTAGGAGATAGAGTTAAGTGATGGTGGCACAGCTGGTAGATGGGTTCCAAGTTCAGCTCCATCTCTGACCTTGTGTGAGTCGGCGGAAGCATCTTTCCATCTCCTAGTCTCAGTTTTTTCTTGATCTAAGCTAATAATTCTAGGACCTGATTTGCACTAGAGCCACCCAGCGGGTTCTTGGAGAATGTTGTAGCCTCTAGGGTCGAGAATCACTGTCTATGAATGGCAGTCAGCATCCTATCCAGATAGTCTGCCATTCCATGAATTGTATGGAAGTTGTTAAAAAGAACTCTTGGTCTAGTTTTGCTGGAGGCATCTGACCTCTCTTCTGAATGGCAAATTCAATCTGGTGAAGAGATAAGATCTATTGCCTACAAAACACCAAGTTAGATGTCTCAAAGATTTCCAAACTCAAAGACCTTTCCTGTGTGGTCAGCTGGACAGACAGACGTCCACATAGCTATAAGCATATGGGCCCTGTTCCTTTCAAACATAGCCATCCTTATGTATTAAACATGGGATTCCTTTAGCTCCTATTAAGCTTCTTTTTCTAGAAATTTGAGCTGTGTTCTTCATTCCTATTATATTTATCAGACAGGGGTGATTCCTGCTGAGACCTAGGAACCAAAGCAGTCTCTCCACTTCCCTACCTTGTAGTCTTTAAACCCAACCTATCCCCTGTGCTATAAACCTCAAAAGTAGAATGGTGTCAGTTTTCATTCCTTAATATTTATCAAGAACTTATATATGCTAGGTACTATCATAAGAGGTTTATGAATGTCAGTCACTTACTCTGCAAATGACCCTGGGAGATCAATGCTATTTTTTCCCATTTCACAAATGAGGCCAGTGAGGGAGAGTGCTAAAATAACTTGTTCAAGGTCTCTCTGCTGGTAAGCAAAAAACTGAGAGTCAAACGTCGAGCCTGCCTTAGACATCATGACTCCTACCACATGGGCAGACCCTGTGCTGTCTGTGAAATTATCTTCCGGCCTTCACACTTCAAATGGAGTACATGGGGGAATGTTCCCAGTAACACATTAGTTAAAAATTAATAGGAAAACCCCTTACATAGACAATATGATAACAGGTATAAAAAATCAATGCAAAACAAAGATCACTAAAAATGACATGTAGTCAAAATTAAAGGAAGGAGAGAGTGAAATATTTGGGGATGGAATTACAGGGGCTTTATTTTCATGAGTGTGGCCTGTATAATCTCCTCCTCTACTGACAAACACTCTTAACCTTTGCCATCAGAACACATGTGACATCAGAGTTGTGCTATGTGCCTGGCATTATTCCAAGAGTTTAATGACTATTAAAATGGTCCTTTGAGATAAACATTCTTTCCTCGTATAGTTTTGGTTTCAGAAAGAGGTAGATCACTAATTTGATATTGAGAATATACTTACTTACAGAAGTAATTGAATCTATAGTGGGTGATTTGATTATTTTTACTTCTGAAATTCAATAGTTTTTTATAGATTTTTATTTTTTTTAACAGATTCATAAAAACATAGATTGTGTGATGAATGTCATTTGGTACATCAGCTCATTGATGCAGATTCTTTTGTAAAGTTATACTTTATACTCACAAGTCTAGCGCTGCTCTGAGACCTTTACCTGGGTTGCCTTACTTAGTGGGCTAGGAACTGTTGTTAGCCTGGTTTTACAGAGACAATTAAGCAAGTTGCTTGATAGGGAGAGAAAAGCTAGAAGCTGGCCCTGTAACGTGTGTTATGACCGAGCCACGGGGTTTCTGGCTTCAGCCCATCCACCCAGACATGGGCCCCAGATATGGTTGCTCTCTCTGTCTTCAGTTCCACCCCCACCCACACCTTTCATTGCAACTTGACACTGACTGCTCTCCCAGCTCAGTGCTGATTTTCCCGGGGATTTAACCTAGCCATGGAGCATTCTTTGTAGGGAAAATAATTTTGCATTCCATCATAGGTGCTCAAAAGTTCCTTGCACAACCTCCCCTCCCCCCGCCCCAGTTCCCTTTGCCAGCCTTATCTACGTAAGGTCATTTGTGGAAAAAGCATTTCTCTGCTTTTCCTGTTGGGGTGACTCAGCTGAAGGGCCACTTGTGGCAACTTCAGCTGAGCTTTGTCCTCTTGCTTCACTCTGTGTAGATACCTGGTTCCTCTACCTCTGGTCAGACTGGGTGTATTCTTTATTCATGGAGACAGGGCCTTCAACAGCTTCTGCCCACTTGAAGGGATCTGTCAGTACAAATGCTCGTGGACTTTTTTGGTATGTCAAACTCAGACAAGGAGAGAATCCCAACTACCCACTCATGTGCCCCAGACCTGCCTGAAAGAGCATCATCATAAGGTCCAGCATTCTTGGTCAAGGTCACGGCACCATCTAAGAATGAAAAGAATCGTGCTAGCATTCTGGTTCCAGCTGGGGTTTTTATTTTGGATTCCTGTCCTTATTTGAAAAGCACCCTTTAATCCCCTTTTGGGGAATGTCACCGTCCATTTCCAATTCTAAAGGACAAACATGTCTTATCATTACCCTCTGCAGCCTAGAATTGGACTGGCTCAGCTCAGGTAATAGGGAGCATAGCAGAGCTGCTTGTGAGATTGATGGATGGGTACTGTATACAGTGTGCAATGTCCCATCGCCATACTACAAGGTTGCAATTCTCCCAGGCTCTGAGAGTTAATACCTCAGATGCTTAGAGAGGGAGGAATTGGGTCCTTGGGTTGTAAGGCGAGGTAGTCATCCATACCCCTCATGAAAGATGCTATCAGTATCCCACACATGGGTACCTCAGTTCAGAGCAGAACTATAAAAGGCAGAAGCTTCTCGTAGCACCTCAGTCCACGGCTTCCAGAGCGATCTGTTCCAGTGCCTGAGCCAGGTAGAACATCTCTCAGACCAGAGAGACTCTGGTGCTGGGTTTCTGGGCAGAAAGAGGCTCTGGGTGGGGCTGAGGGCATCTTAAAGATGAACAAGGAGAAAGAAGGGTTTGGAGGGAAGGAAGGGTCCATCTGGAAATGGAAGGTAATAAAAGGTTATGATCAGTACCTTCTTGACCTTACAATGAATTCATCTGAAAAGACGAACTGCCTATATTGGGATCATCTGTACTTTTTATTTTGGAAGTGAACTTGCGAGGTTGGGTTTTAAAATATCTAATCACCAAAACGGTAAAATACTGTAAATTCATCATTTAGTCTTCAAAGCATCATTATTGGGTTTGCTGATCTTAAAATTCTTTCATTATCTTTCAGTTTTATCCAGTTCCTTTCAAAATGTCCTGCCAGCAGAGCCAGCAACAGTGCCCACCTCCTCCTCCTAAGTGCAAGACGCCCAAGTGTCCCCCTGCTCCTTCCTGCTGTGGCTCCAGCTCAGGGGGCTGCTGCAGCTCTGGGGGTGGCAGCTGCTGTTCCAGCCACCACAAGCCCCGATTCTCTCTGCGTCGCCGACGTCACAGCTCTGGATGCTCTAGCAGCGGTGGCAGCAGCTGCTGTGGCAGTAGCTGTGGTAGTAGTGGTGGCAGCAGCTGCTGTGGCAGTAGCTGTGGCAGCAGCAGTGGCGGCGGTGGCAGTAGCTGCTGTAGCAGTAGCTGTGGTAGTAGTGGTGGCAGCAGCAGCGGTGGCGGCGGCAGCTGTGGCAGCAGCGGTGGCGGCGGCAGCAGCGGTAGCAGCAGCCAGAAGTCTGGAGGTTGTTGCTGACCCGAGGAAGAAGACCACGAAGACCACGGAGAGCAGTGCTGAGGAAGGAAGTCCGGCCAGGCAGAGTGCCTCCTCTTCTCCCGCTTTCCTGCAGAAACACTTCTTAATTCTGTTTCCTTTCTTCATCCCCCACGAAGCTCATCTACTGTGAGGTTTTGAGGTCTCGCGGTCTCACCTCTGAGTCTCATTGGCTTTGTTTTTCCTCTCAGACACAACAGTCTGGGGATGAGATGTTAAAACTCAGCTCTGAAGCACTTTTCTGGTAACAATAAAGCTTTTGATTCCTGATGTCGTGGCCTCCCAGTACTGTTTTGTTTAGCCCTCCCGTCCCACCCTCCACATCGAGCAATATTTCCTTCCTTTATCTAAAGTGCATATCGTGGTACAGCATCCACTTAAGAGCCCTGGGAAACAGCGTTCACTTAGGACTCTGGACTTGGAAACTTCAAACATGAAAATAAGAATCATGTCTGAGATCCCTGCCCCTTATCAGTTTGCAAAAGGGGAACTAGGAATGGGATGAGATGAAGCAGGCAATACCCAGAAGAAAAAAAAAAAAACATTTTGAGAGGGTGTCCTTCAAAAGTGAGCAGCCAGCCGTTGGGAAACGTTCTCCTTTTAATCGCGGAGAATAAGATTTCCTGAAGTGCCCATTGTGGGCTCTAGTGAGTAGGCACTGCTTTCTGGTGATTAGTAGTGGGCATGCAGGAGATCTGAGTGGAGAAGCATTTCCAGAGGAGAAGCTGAGAAGACAGGTGTGAAATGATGGAGTCCACTTTGCTTGGACTCTAGAATTTTAGGTTTGGGTCTGAAGAGGGAACAAAGACATCATCTCAGTCAAAGATTGTCCCCACATGGTGGTGGTGGCCGTGTAGCTGCTGCTGCTGATACTGGTGGTGGTGTATGTGTGTGTGTGTGTGTGTGTGTGTGTGTGTGTGTGTGTGTGAGTATGTGTGTGTGTGTGTGTGTGTGTGTGTGTGTGTGTGTATAAAGGACAAGGGAATTTCAATCACTGAGCTTGGATGTTGATGTAATATTCCTCTGGGATTGGGATGGTTTCTTCAGGAAATACTAAAAATTAATTACAAATCAACTTTCCTATACAAGATAAGCAGCTAGTACCTCCTTTGATCAGAGTTAACACTGATGTAAGTTGGAGTAAGGGGTCCGTTCAGTGAGCAGCTACTTGATCTCTCTTTATATAAATTCTTATCACCCTGCTTTTTTTGTCACCTTTTGCCTAGTTTTCCAGAGGAGAACCCATCTACCTTATTACCTCATGACTTCCTTCCCTTTTCTAACATTGATCTCATTTCTTGGAATGTGTTACCTCTCCTTGGCGAGAGGTACTCTAGACACAGTAGGCAACCTGTTAATCAGGCTCTAAAGCCAGGGCAAAGGAAACGGGTATCGTTTATGACTTGTCTTTCATGTCTGTTTCCTCATGTCACACCCAGCACATACATCCCAGAGTCTGTCTCTCACTCTCAACCCCTGAATATTCATCTTAGATTCTCTTGTGTCTCATACTCATGGTTGTTGTGGCCAGATAGTTGCGGTGATTGAATGGCAGTTCGAAGGTACCTAGCCTCCAAAGTGTCCTCCAGTTTTAAAAATAAGCTAATCAAAAGCAGTAATTACTGAGGGGACTTTGAGGCCATCTGTTTGTTTAATCTCCCCCTCTTCCTTCTTAGTTCTTTTATTTTATCCTTTTCTTTTCTTTTTCTTCTTTGTTTGTCTTTTCCCTCTGTGGCAGTAGTTCCAGGGAAAATCTATTCTTCTTCTTCTTCTTTTTTTTTTTTTTTTTTTTTTTTTTTTTTTTTTTGTGGGTTTTTTTNTTTTTTTTTTGTATTTTCGAGACAGGGTTTCTCTATGGCTTTTGGAGCCTGTCCTGGAACTAGCTCTTGTAGACCAGGCTGGCCTCGAACTCACAGAGATCCGCCTGCCTCTGCCTCCCTAGTGCTGGGATTAAAGGCATGCGCCACCACCACCCGACGGGAAAATCTATTCTTAAGGGAGATGAGATCAGAAACAGGAGGTTCACGAGTAGTTTCCTATTTTTCTTCCAGTAGGCCCACATCCCTCACCCATTTTTGCCTGAGATTCACCGGTGACTTCTTTTGGTCTTAGTGGTCCTTTAACTTTGCCTGAGTTTCTCTTCTTGTCAATAGTGACAGGAAGAAACCACCAATGGGATTCGATCCCCCACCGTCATCTTCATTCAACTCTACCTAGATACATCTAGACAAACCCACAGGGTTTATCACACAGCCTGCAGCCTGCCACACAAGACAAGAATCAAGGGCCAGAGATGCAAATAAGACAATGCATGATAAGGAGCTGGCTACACATGAATGGTGTGTGGGAAAGTGGAATGGTGCCTGTGTTCTCTTACCCCCACGACATGGTGCGCGTGTGCGCGTGTACATGTATGTGCGCACCCGCATACGGCATTTAAGAGAGCAGAGAGGACCCCAGACCTCTCTTCAGTAGCGCCTCAGGCCTTCTCTGAGCATGCACACAGCCCTCCCAGCTATGAACAGTGTCCTGTTTGGAAAGTAAACACACCACAGCAATCCTGGCACCTCTGTAGAGTGACTTGGATATCCACGTGCACCACCTACAGTGCTACCTGAGTGATGAATGCCTCTGGGATGTAAGCGTCAGCTGAGCACGTCTGTTGAGAAATGGGCCCCTCCCAGGAACCTGAACTTGTAGGAATCTTATAAAAGGTTCTCTGGCCATGCACTGTTCAGTCTTCTGCCTAACAGGTGGCAAGTTCCAGTTGGAGAACTGAGTGAGTCTTCCTGTGGAACCAAAATCGAGTAAGTGTCCAAGCAGGGTCTGGGGGAGGAAGCTGGGAAGAGAGGAAGAGAGAAGGGGGGGCAGGGCACATCTGGGAATGTAGCTGTGGAAAGACAGCTTCTAGTAGTGGACCAGCCTTTCCAGTTGCCTATGAAGATGCAAAGGTCTGTCATGGAGCTGAATTTTGAAATGTTCTCCAGCCTGTCAAGGAGTTGTGACTAGAGCCCAGGTTTTAGGCTAGTTATGCTTTTCTGGTTCTCTGCCATGACTTTATTATAAGGGGAACAGGCAAGAAAGAATGTGCAGGGCATGCGTTTGTGTTTTCAGAGTCTCTATACAGAAGAGGGGGTGGGAAGACAGGTGGTTGCTGGGTGTTTTCTGACAGATGCGATGGTCATACATTAATGGAGATTACCACTTGAAAGGCTGTGTGCCCCAAATACAGTGGGGAAAGGGCAAGAGTAAGAGAAGATACATTGTAGCCATATCCTCTTTCTTTTCTACCATGGAAACTTTGGATGATCCTTACACCAGTTAGGGAAACTGCACTGATCCTTTGTATATTGTTTCTGGTTTTCTGCCTCTGCCACCCACTTTAAGCAGCTGTTTGGGATTTGTTTCTTTGCTTCCCTTCTTTTCTTTTCTTTCTCTCAACCCTCTTGCCCCAAGCCAGACTTTTAAATCAAGTGTCCAACATTCTGACTTCCACTATTGGAAAGAAAAGGCGGGCTTTTTGAAAGGTTGTCTTTCTTACAGATTCGCCTTGACAAACGCAGCGATGTCTCAGCAGGGCGCCAAAGGCTTTTCCAAAGGGTCTTCCCAGGGCTCAGCCCCCTGCTCCGCCCCGACGCCCGCCCCCGCGCCCTCCTCCTCTTGTTGTAGCCGTGGCTGCTGCGGAGGCGGCGGCTGTGGCAGCTGTGGCTGCGGCGGTGATTCCGGCTGCTGCGGCTCCAGTTCCACCGGCTGCTGCTGCTTTCCCAGGAGGCGCCGCCGACAGCGCACTAGCGGCTGCTGCTGCGGAGGAAGCCAAAGGTCCCAACGCTCCTGCAACAACCAGAGCTCAGGCTGCTGCGGTGGCTGCTGAGAGTCCACAGAGATGCGCATCCTACAGCGGCCCCTCTGCTGCTCCCACCCTGCCCTTCATAGTAGCAACAGGCAGGATCAGTCTCGGAGATTGGTCCCCCTGGAGCTAACTGCACTTTGATGCTCAGAAACCTCACCCTGTTCTCAGCCCTGTCCCCTCATGCTGATTTTCCTCCTAGGGAATGCAAAAGTCAAGGGTGGGACATCAGACAATGTTATGGGCGGGGGCTTGGGCACAGCAGTGTTGAAAAATAGATCTACTTATTTGATTGTCCTCCGAAGACGTCACAATAAAGCTTCTACCTCTTATGAACGCTTCTTTTCCTCTTTATTCCTTTCTCCGTGCCTTCATTTTTCTTATTTTATTGCCCTTTATACTACTTCTTAAAGGCTCATGCCTGAAGGAGAACACACCGGCTGCTCTGTGTCTTCTAAGGGTTCTGCGTCCGCAGCCACATCTACTTTGTGTAATGACTCACTGAAGTGGGCGCTGCTGCGTCCGTTTTTACAGAGGGGAAACTAGCGTAAAGCTCCGAGTCACTTAGGTATGCAGGCAAGATGGAGGTGATTGCGAGATTCCAAAGAACGTTCTCCTAATTGCTCTGCTTAGCTTGATCTGCCTTGAGCTGTCAAAACCTTTGTGTTCCTCCCCAGAGCAGCCCCCGTGTTGGCTCCCCCACCTCGCACTCAGCACCCTTCCGCCAGGCTCAGGTAGCTGGGGAACTCTGATTTGGATTAGCAACTTCTGAAACTTTGAATTCAGTCCTGCTGAAACTTCTTTCTCTTCTTTCGGGTTTTATTCCGTTCCTTCTCTATTTCCTCTCTTTCTTGCCTTCTTTCCTATCCCTTTTCCTCCCCTCCTTTCCCCTCACCATCTCCCTCCTCACAACACCCGAATTTTCTTTTTCTGGTGGTGGAAGACCATTTACCTTTGCTTAGCATTTTCTGCGCCTGCCATGAGCCAGGGACTCTGAGGTCTGATCTATGCAGCTGAGGCATGACCACGAACTACAGATCTCACCTTGGCTGTGGCTGTCAGACTAAATCACACTAGCATGGGAAGCCGTATGAGCAGAGAGTTTACTGTTCATTCTAGGTAAGACCCCTTAGCCTAGTGTCTTCTAGGTTCAGAAAGGATGGTATAGTAATGGTAAAAATAATAGCACAAAAATAGCTCACA